AGGCATTGCACGCCGGTGCTCCTGCAGCCGAAGAGAGAGAACCCTTTCCTCCCACCTCGATTGGACCGTTATGGTTAGATCGGTGTGGAGGGACGTACCCGCATCCAGGGCTCCATCCCATGGGGATCCTCCCCCCATGGTGCCTGAGGTGCTCCGGGCCGCTCGGACGTTTCCGAGGTCGGGGTCGGGGTACTCTACCGCGTCCTGAGAGATCTCACCCTTCGAGGTATTGCACGCCCGTGCTCCGGCAGCCGAAGAGGGGAGGACCTCTCTCCCTCATTCGTCCCAGCCACGGCTGGGCGAATGGAGGATCCCACACCCGGGTCTGCACACCATAGGACTATTCCCATGGTCCCCGGGGGGTGGAGGGGTGTCCCGGGCCGCTCGGACTTATTCCGAGGTCGGGGTCGGGGCACTCTAAGGTGATGAGGGGAGAGGACCCCACCTTCATCGAAGGTGGACTCCCCGACTTCCCTCACCCTCGCTTTGGGTGAGGGCTCGGCCGAACGGACAGAGGAACCCACACTCGGGTTTGCACACCATGGAGTTTACCCCATGGTACCCGGGGGTGGAGGGGTGTCTCGGGCCGCTCGGACATATTCCGAGGTCGGGGTCGAGACACCCTCATGCGCCATCTAGAGGACTCATCCTTGGAGGCATTGCACGCCGGTGCTCCGGCAGCCAAAGGGAATGATCCTCTCCCTCATCCGTCCTGGCCACGGCCAGGCGGAGAGAGGTACCCACACTCAGGTCTGCACACCGTGCGGGTTTGGAACCCCTCACGGTACCTGGGGGGTGTAGGGGTGCTCCGGGCCGCTCGGACATATTCCGAGGCGGGGCCGGAGCCTCTGTGTGCTGTGCCTGAGGGAATGCGATCGCATCACCCTAAAGTGGACCCTCGGGCGGCGCGAGCACGCTGGCTGCCATGGGGGAGGCGTTCCCGGTGGGGTGCGACACCGGTGAACTACCTCCTTCCATGGGGCTCCCCGCGTGGCGGCGCTCTGCACGGTGCCCGCATTGTCGGAAGTGCGGGACCCACGAAAGCGGTCTGGCCACCAGAAATGGTGGTCAGGGCGCGTGTAGGGGGCGGGAGGTCTGTGCCAACGATGACACATTCCGTCGGCCCGTGCCATATGGTGCTCCTCTGAGGGAACTCGGAGGCTCCCCCTTTCCGGGGGGATGCGGGCATGCCCGGGCACCGGAGCTGTGCAGAGTTGTGGGTTTCAAACCAAAATGACGAATTCTTCTTCTTCTAATAACGACCATACGGACACGGAACAACGTAAGACGACCCTGGCTACGTACAAGGAAATGAGTGGAGCGGCAACACCAAGTTGTTCTCATCAGAGAGCAACCACAGGGACGATGCCAAGTCCCAAAGCGTCGTAAAGACCGATAATGGAGATAGATCCCCTATTGAGTCCGTAGGGTCTACATCCGATCTCACCTCGCAGGAGGGCTGGGATGGTGAAAATGAAAAAGAGGGGAAATGGGATATCCCCAGAAAAAAAGAAAATGGTGAGACGGATGAAGAGCGCTTCATTGCTAAGGCAACAAGAGGGAGAGGCAGAACGGAGACAACCGGTGAATACCGGAAGAAAAAGGTCTTCATGGCCAAAAGAAAAGCCTACCTCGAAAGAGTCAAGGAGGAAAAATTATTAAAAGGGATGGAAAACTCAGTGGAGGAGTTCAGAGACTGTTCTCTGAACCGAAAATATAAAAATGAGGTAAACAGACTCTTAGAGCACCTAGAGGAGGCGTCATTTAGAGACCTGTCCGCATCCATTCAGGAAGCGGCGATGAAGATTTTGGGTTTTTCAGTAAAAACCAAGAATCTAAAAGGGACATATGTAAAGGTCCTCCGAGATGCTGCAGCTGCCATCACAGCGGGCAACACTTTGATGGCAAAGTATATGTCCAGAGAAACATGCGGGCAGAACCTGGATATAATTCAGGAGATGAAGGCAGAAAATGCTGAATTAAAAACAGCATTAAGTAACATGAAAAAGGAATTAGAGGAGGTAAGAGAGACGTTGCGAAGTATAAAGGAGGCACCACTGTCAACAATGGTGTCCTCCTCGCCCTCGAAACGCCAAGGAAACATAGATGGGAGTATAAAGGGGGCACCGCATCCGATAGCGGATACCCCTTCGCCTCCCATCTATGTAGAGGAAAGGAAAGAAGAAAGGGGAAAGGTAGGAGACAGAGTTACCCCCCCACTGCTAGACATGATGGAAATAGAAGTAGAACCTATCGGGGTGATTGAAGTGTAGAAAGGAGCAATACCAAAATGGAAAGCACACCCGATAGGAAAACAAAAGGAGGAAGCCAAGGTCGCAAAAACTGAGATTACAGGCTCCAGAATAAGAGGAAATGTTCCCCTCAATAAGAGAATAAGAGTAGAAAGAATGGAGGGAAACAAGGAAAAGGAGGAGGATGACCTTGAATGTAAGGTCACCAAGATGGTGCTCAATGCATTAGGACAATGAGCATCGCAGAGAGAAGAGGATAAGAAGAAAGAGGAGGGAAAGGAAATAAAAAAGGAAGCTCCTAATCAAGGAAAGGAAAAGAATATCGAAAACAAAGGAAAAGGCAACAAAAAAAGAAAAGTAGCGGGAATGGCACCGGAGGGCCAATCTAATATTCAACTCCCTGAGAGAAGGGACAATAGAATAGCCCAAGTCCCGCAATCCCGAGGAGCGGAACAACTGATACCAAGGGAACACAAGGAGGGAACACCCGCACCCATCCAAGAACAGTGGTCTAAAGTGGTGGGGAGAAAGGAAAAAAGAGAGGCGAAGATGGAGCAAAGAACACAGGTATCAAACAGGACGGGAAAAGAGGGAAACAAAGTAGCAAAGGAAGGGAAAAAAGCCAAACGAAAAGTTCCCAATACGGCGGCGGTCACCATCACTGCAGGATAAGATCAGTATAAGGAACTACTCGCTGAGGTGAAACAGAAAATTGACTTAACGGGAATAGGGATTGGAAAAATAAAGACCAGAATTGGGGCAACTGGAGCACTGGTTCTAGAAATCCCTGGGGAAAAAAGAGGAAAGCAAGCCGATGTCCTTGCAGAGAAACTGAGAAAAGTATTCACTGACAGGGCAAAGGTGAGCAGACCTCAAAAGATGGGGGAACTGAGGATCAAAGGACTGGAAATCTCAACTTCGGAAAAAGAAGCTGCAGAAGGCATTGCAAAGGTAGGAGGGTGCGAAATCACCGATATTAAAACGGGCAAGATAAGAGTGGCTCGAAACAACTATAGAACACTGTGGGTTCAGTGCCCCCTCCTAGCGGCCAAAAGAGTGGCAGACAAAGAGACAATAAAAATTGGATGGACACAAGTGAAGGTGGAACTGTTACAAGGAAGACCTTTACAGTGTTATAAGTGTCTTGAAAGGGGACATGTGCAGCAAAACTGCACGAGTAACAAAGATAGAAAGGACAACTGCTATAGATGCAGTGAACCTGGCCACTTGGCTCGAGACTGTGAGGCTAGAGCCAGGTGCCAAATTTGCGCAGATGCAGGAGTCCAATCAGGTCACAGGATGGGCAGACCATCATGCCGCCCTCCCCCTGGGAAAAGGAAGGAATTAAGAGGAGCAGTGGAGGACAAAACGGAGTCCGCACCGAGTCCGCAAGACCCTCCTGCTCCTCTCGAGAAAAAGGAACAAGGAAAGGAATCGGAGAAGGAGGAAGGGAATGGAATCTTGGAATTCCCACCTCCTCTTCCCCAGAGAGAAAGAGTCCCCATTTCAAAATGCGAGCAGAGACTGAAGAAATGGAAATCGATGCCAAGAGAGGAAAAAAACGCCCACGTCCAAAAGAAAACACGGAAAGTGATGAGGGAGATCAACCGGGCGGGAAAATAGTAATAAATCCAAAAGAACAACGATAATGGATACTAGATTATTACAAGGAAACCTGCACCGCGTCCGCCAGGCTCAACCTTTGTTCGAGCATACAATGGCGGAGCGCGGTGCAGGATTAGGCATAGCGGCAGAGCCCTACCGTGTCCCCAGAAACCACCCAAGGTGGTTTGGGGACGAGTTGAGCTCTGTCGCTATTGTATGGAGAGCGAGCGACAGCTCACCCCTCGCAATCTTTGTGGGTTGTGGAAGGGGATATGTTGTGGCCAGGTGGGGAGTAATAACCGTGGTCGGGGTATACCTCCCCCCAACAAAGAGCCTGGACCTGATTGAGTATAGGTCCAGGCCCCAAGAAATGGGAGATGTCATCCAAAGGTACCTCCCAGGTCCTGTCATCGTCGCCGGTGATTTCAACGCGAAATCTGAGCTATGGGGCTCCCGGCGCGGTGCTAGGCGGGGGGAGGTAACGCTGGATTGGGCCGCGGGCTTGGGTCTGCACATCCTAAACAAAGGGACTAAGTCCACATTTGTAGGGTCGCAGTGGGAGTCAATTATTGACTTGTCATGGGCAACCCCTGCGGCCCTAAGAAGAGTGCGGACCTGGAGGGTGGCGGACGAGCTTGAGACTCTGTCAGACCATCAGTATATAGAGATGGAGCTGTCCGTTACCCCCGATGGCCTGCAGCTCAGCAAAACGGGCGAAACCCGACCAGGAAGATGGTCACTGGCCCAGCTGAACAGGGAAGATCTGGAGATTTCCCTGATGGGCTCCACCTGGCCACGACGGAAGGAAGGGCAGGACCTTGACTCTGAGATCATGGAGGCCATGGATGTACTCGCACAGGCGTGCGATGCTTCCATGCTCAGAGTCAGGTCCTGCCCAAAACGGGCTACTTGGTGGTGGACCGACTAAATCGCAGCGCTGAGACGCAGGTCGGTCCGCCTCAGGCGAGCTTTCCGCAAAGAGCGGAACAAAAGGGACAAAACCCTGAGGCCACTCTGGCCGCCCGGCAAGAGTTTTGAAAAGCAGCAAAAGAGCTCACAGATGCCATAGGGGTGGCCAGAGGAAGAGGGTGAGACAACCTCCTCCTCTCACTGGATGCGGATCCGTGGGGGCGCCCATACAGAATGGTCATGCAGAAACTGAGACCATGGGCGCCCCCTCTGACGGAGACGCTAGACTCCAGGTTCCTAGAGCGGGTGATGGGGACCCTTTTCCCGGTTGGGAGGGGCAACCCCATCACCCCGTATACCCTACCATGTCCCGAACAACAGGGGGAGATTCCGGGAGTCACGGAGGAGGAGGTGGCCGGGGCCATCAAAAAGGTCAAGAGCAAAAAGGCTCCAGGACCTGATGGTATCCCCGGCCGAATCCTCACCCTGGCCTCAGGGTTTTTGGGAGAAAGATTAGCGCTCCTATTCACAAGGGCGCTAAGAGAAAGGAGGTTCCCCCCAGTCTGGGGGAGGGCCAACGTGGTCCTCCTCCGAAAAGAGAGCAAGCCGGAGGACTCCCCCTCCGCGTACCGGCCTATATGCCTCCTTGATGAGGCGGGCAAGCTCTTTGAGCGTGTCATTGCTGCCCGCCTCCGGAGGCATATGTCCCAGGAAGGTCCTGATCTCGATGGTGGCCAATATGGCTTCCGAGAGGGGAGATCAACAGTAGATGCGATAAGGCATCTCAAATCCCTCTCGGGGGCTATCGTGGCGGAGGGCAGGGTGGCTGTTGCGGTGTCTTTAGACCGCATGCCCTGGGGTAGATTGGTTGAGGCGATGAGGAACCATTTCCGATTCCCACCCTACCTCACGGCCACCATCGAGGATTACTTCCGGGGTCGGCGTCTTACGCTGACAGACGCCGACGGCGCGGTGCGTGAGAGGGGGATGAGTTACAGGGTTCCGCAGGACTCGGTGTTAGACCCACTCCTGTGGAACCTCGGATACGACTCAATCCTCCGGACAGCCTTCCCCCCTCGGCTGTAGTGTGTTGTGCTACGCGGACGATACTCTCGTCCTAGCCGGGGGGAATGACTGGGGGGACGCCATACATGTGGCGAACCAAGCGGTGGCAGGCGTTGTGCGTGCCATCCGCAACCTGGGCCTGGTGGTGGCTGAGAAGAAAACCGAGGCAATATTCTTCCATGCCAGGAAAGGAAAGCCACCACGGGCCCACGTGCGGGTGGGTGCGGTCAGGGTCCCATTGGAGGCCCAGATGAATTATCTGGGCCTCAAACTGGACGGCACCTGGTGCTTCAGGGAACATATAAACAGGCTGGTCCCCGGGGATGATATCTGCCGGGCTTGGCAGACTTATGCCCAATGTCGGGGGACCGGACAGGAAGGCTCGTCGCTTCCACGCGGGATTCCTCAACTCTGTGGCGCTGTATGGAGCGCCAGTATGGGCGGAAGCGTTGGCCGCCAGTCGCCCGATGCAAGCGCAAATGCGCAGAGTGCAGAGGGTGCTGGCTGTCAGGGTAGCCAGACCGAACGGTATCCTGCGTGGCGGCGACGGTCCTGGCGAGCATGGCCCCCCTGGAGCTTATGGCCCTGTCATACAGAAACATATATGACAGGAAGCGGGAGCTCCTGCGTACAGGGGGGGTGGATGTATCGCTCGCCGGGGCCATAAGAGCCATGAAGCATCAGACTCGACAGGTCCTCCTCCAGAGATGGCAAAGATTCCTGGCCAATGCCAGGTACGGGAGGAGGACCATCGAGGCCGTCTGGCCCTTCCTGCACGAGTGGGTAGGAAGGGCCCATGGGACCCTGACATTCAGGATGGCACAGGTACTCACCGAGTATGGGTGCTTTGGTGAGTACCTGTGCCGAATAGGGAAAGAGCGCACAACGGACTGCCACCATTGTGGGCATGACCATGACTCCGCGCAACATATGCTCCAGGATTGCCCCACCTGGAGCATTGAGCGCAGAGTCATGGTCAACGATATAGGGAATGATCTTCCACTCTTCAGCATTATTGGGGCAGTGCTGGAGAGTGAGAAGAAATGGGAGGCGTTCTCCTCCTTCTGTGAAACGGTGATATCGCAGAAGGAGGAGGCAGAAGAAGGACGCAAGAAGGCAGAAGGCAAAGGGAGAAAGCGGAGGAGGCGAGAAAGACACCGCCAGTGGAGAGGAGACAGGAGTAGGAGTAGGGAGGGGGATGCGGACTCCTCCTCCGAGGAGGAGATTAGGATGGTGGGTCCACCACCACCTCCACCACCGCCTCCCCCCTCCCCCTCCTACTCCTCCTCCGATGAGGAGAGGAGGAAGGACTCGGAGGACGCGGGATGTCTCCAGCGGGGGGCATGTGAAAGACCGGGGAATGCCGGTCGTTGTTTTACAGCGGCTTCCCCCTATAATACTGACGGCGGCATTGCTGCTGCCTGCCCCCCCCCCGGCAGTGGTGGCAGCGGCAACGGTGTCACCGTTGCCCCCTCCTGCCCCCCCTGTGGTGGTGACAGCGACAGGAGATAGGGCGGATTGGAGGGCGCGGCTTCGACCCAGGCCCTCCATCAGTAACCCACCGGCTTCCCTTAAAAAGGGAGTCGGATAGGAATAAGGGGGGAAGAGGGTGTCGATGGTGATTTAACATCATCGAAGAAAACACCCCTCCCTCCCTGACCGTAGATCCGACACAAAGAAGTCGGATATGCGGGAGGGGGGTCATTAGGACCCCCCACCCCATTCCTCTGTGGAGGTGGGGTGAGCCCGGCGGCTAGGGGAGCTTTCCCCCCGTAACCGCCGGGCGGGAGGGCGGGGCACCGGGCGGGGACTCCCGGTGCCCCAACCAACCCTCCCAACGTAGGATGGCTGGCTGATACGGTGGGTCAGTCAGTCACATGTACTGGCGGCGCCTCATCTGGTCAGGAACGGTGGTCGAAGCGGGCCTTGGCCGGCTTCCCCCTTCCTGACCGTAGAGATGAGGCGTGAGGGGCGGGAAAGGGGAGTGGTGGTCGAAGCAAGCCCTCGGGCTGGCTTCCCTCCTCCCCTGGGGGAGCGGTGGTCGAAGCGAACCTTTGGGTTGGCTTCCCCCCCCCGCTCCTCAGGGACAGAAGGCGTAAGCCTGGACTCGGGGCCTCGATAAGCAGTTACGCGGCTCCGGGGCCCCGAAGCCAGTCCCTTCGCAGCGCCACCCGGGGAAGTTTTAGCCGGTAGGAGTCCGGCATAACCCTGGCCCTTCCCCGAGAGTCAGAGTATCCATAGTGGATTTCCTCCTCGTCAAAAAAAAAAAGGGTCTGGGTTCCCGGCGCCATCGTTCTCGCAGTCGGCGAGGTGCCCGATCTCTCGCAGGCAAGTGCGCGGCCGTCCCGCCGGCCGCCCGCGCCTGACAAGTAGCTCCAGACGTGGCCGCTACGAGGCGCGCCACACGATTCCGCAACCCGCGGGTAAGAATCCGCCGGCCGGGTATATCACCCAGCGCAACGGCCGGCGCGACACCTTCGCATGGCCCAACGCCGATTGTGGCAATCCCTTAATGAAATTTTAGCTATATATATTGATTTAGATTTAACAAAAGCGAAATACGAGAAACTCAGGGAACACAATAAAAAAATATATGGGACAAAATTATATCTATCATATAATATTAAGAATGCAAACGAGCAGTGCTATCCATTAGGTTTAAATATTACTGACTTAGGTGCGAGTGTCGATGAGAAGTTATTAGATCATACAACTGAGAGAATACTTTTAACATTGAATGAGAAGACGCTCCTTATTATACGCGATACGCAATTAACTTTATATGGAAAGTGGGGCATGAGGTGGAGCTTCTGGGCAACAAACCACAAGACAGAAATGGTCATTAAATCCCGATAATGAGAAACAAGATAGTCAGTCAATGCATGCTGACAATGATATTGACTACAGAAGACATGTTTTGTGATGGTGCAATATTTTTAATTTCTTTTGTGCCAATTCAGTTGGTGGTTGATACTCGAAATATTATATGGAAAAACAAAAGACCTTCGTCAGTACGTTATTGCCGACCAATAAAGTTCGAATTTAGAAAGGAAACTAATTCATATACAATAACAGAATATTGTTGTGGCCTTCGCGCCTGATGCACTAAGGCCGGTTAGGTTTCGGGTTCGTTCGTGGTCTTGGGGATTGGGATCCCGAGCTTCGCTGGTCCAGGCGAGATAGAAGTAATCGGTCGTACAAAAGAAGATGGCGTTTAATCGTTCCTCCTTACACTTGCGCTTACTACGTACTAGTGTAAAATAACGGACCCGGATTTATACGTTAACTATCGAGACGCTCAGTTCTCGGTTCAATCTTCTATCTGCTCTTCTTTTTCGGCTCCAGTCTTATATATCCTGGTGCCTTTGGTATGATTGAAACAATAACCTACTTTCGTGGTCTCAGTCAGCAGAGTTGTAAGTTTATGTATTACAAATACTGTATAGCGTCAGCACTTTAATCGAATTGTGTATTGCGCGCTTACTAACTAACTACAACGTAAGGTGGAATAATTAGGACGCGGTTACAATATAATTATTATTCAAATATTTTTAACAATTTAGCTTCATGCATCAGAGTAAACAACGTATCAATCACCATAAGTTATAACATACAATGTACAATGGTCGACGGTAAAATATGCAACATCTTAACAGGATAAAAATCACCGAATTGTTGTAACATTTGTGGCGTGAGTCCAAAGAACATAAATAATCTCCATTATATGAACAATCTTCCAGTTAATGGCGGTAACTACAAATATGGACTTTCCATATTACATTGCTAGATTCGCTTTATGGAATATGTACTACATATTTCTTACAATTTAGACTTCAAGAAGAACAGTGCCAGAGGAGAAGATAAAGTTGTAAAAGCTGAAAGAAAAAAGAAAATTCAACAGAAGTTAAAATCGAAATTATCATTAACTATAGACATTGTAAAACAAAGAGCAGGTACGTCAAATACTGGGAATGTTGCTCGCTGTTTTATTGCAGAAGCTGAAACCGTAGCTGATATTATTGGAGTAAATAAAGATTTAATAAACCGACTAGTCAATATTTTGTAAGTATTATCATCTGGGAGAAACATCAATTGTGACAAGTTCGAAAAATATTATATGGATACCGCTGAACTTCGTGTGCGTTTGTATCCCTGGTATAACATTCCGCCATCTGTACATAAGGTTTTATTACACGGCAGTAATATTATTAAACATTTCAGTTTGCCGATTGGTTACTTCTCGGAAGAAGCGCAAAAAGCAAGCAATAAGATTTTTAAAAATCTCATGCCCAACACAACAGAATGTAATCGTGATAAACTATTAATGAAGATATTATGCAGTATCTCCTAATATCATCAGATACGGTAATTAGTAGTCTAAAGACAACGCCCAAAAAAAAAAGATAGATTTATCTGCAGAAGCTAAAGAGTTATTACTTAATTGAAACAAAACAGCTTCATACAAAGAATGACAATTTTGTACATTTTGACAAAATGTTACAATAAATATAAGTAAGATATGATATAAATATGTTACAATATATTAGGTGTACAAATGAATAATCCAATTTTTTCAGCTACATTCAAGGTTTATTTGAATAGAAAGTAAATTAAATTATTCGATCAAAATATTCGCCGTTGCTTTCTATAACTTTAAGCCATCTTTCAGACAGCTGATGAATTCCATCTCGAAAAAATGTTACGTCTTTGGACACGATAAAGTCGTCAAGCCATTTTCGAATCTCATCCACTGATTGGAAGTGCATATCGAACAAGGCGTGTTGCATCGATCGGAACAAGTGATAATCGGATGGAGCAATGTCTGGTGAATACGCCGGGTGCTGCAAGACGTCCCAGCCAAGACTCATTATGGAGTCTTTTGTATTGGAAGTAATATGTAGCCTGGCGTTGTCATGCAATAATTTCACTGGACGTCCCTCTTTACCAATATACGGGCGTTTTCATTCCAATTCTTGACTCAAGCAGATTAATTGACGTTGGTAGCAGTCCGCAGTAACTGTTTCACCCGGTTCCAACAACTCATAATAAAGCACGCCCTTGATATCCCACCAAATGCAAAGAAGAACCTTCTTTCCGAAGCGATTGAGTTTTGCGACCGATTTTGATGATTTACCGTGATTTACCCATGACTTTCTGCGTTTCGGATTGTCATAGAGTATCCATTTCTCATCGACCGTAACGATTTTCCACAAGAAAGACTTTCGACGCTGCTTATTGAGAAGAGAAAGACACGCTGCCACTCGTTGATTTTTGTTGGTTTCAGTCAGTTCATGCGGATTATTTTAAGCCCATTTTCCTTCTTTCTGGATCATTCTCATCTCATGTAGGTGTTTGGAAATCGTTTGCTGCATTACTCCCAACTGTTCTGCAAGCTTTTTTTGTGTTTGTGCCGAATTCTCAACGAGCAGTGGTTCCAAATCATCATTATCGTACTTCGGAGGGCCTCCAGGGCGTTGTTTGTCGATTAGACTGATGTTACCGCTTTTAAACCGCTTAAACCAAAATTCGCACACATCGTACGATACAACACCTTCGCCGAGAAAGGAACAAATCGATTCGCATGCTCTTGTAGCATTTTTTCCTTTTTGGAATTCGTAAAGAATGTAGTGTCGGATATGCACCTTATCTGTTGCCATTTTCGACTGTACTGAACTGATCTTGGCGGCTTTGGCTTATCCAGCCGTGCCGTCGAACGCCCTTTCTTGAGCCCAGTACCCTTGAGAGGGGCGGAGAGTTGTGCCGCTTCCCCCTTTCTCCGCCTCCCTTGTCCTGTTTCTTGCCTTCCTCCCCAGGACCTTGGACCATTGTTCCTGGGAAGCTGTTTCAGGCTGAGAGGCGCTTTGGACTGCCTTGAACAGGGCCTCCTGTAGTGGGTCCAACCTTGACTTCATTTGGTCCTTTGTCGCTGCCTTCCCCACTACTTTCGCACCATCTCCTGATGGCCTCGTGTTTGGCTTGGGTCTTTCTGGTCCTGTTGCCCTGTTCCCCTCTGCCTTGCCTGCAACAGTCTTTGTTACCTCTGTGGGGCCCGACATGGGTCCCTCCAGGCCTGTTGTTCGGGCTTGCCTCCCAGTAACAATTTCCAACTGCTGCTGCTGCTGTTGTTGCCACGCCTGCAGGATCATCTTCTCCCTTTGTCTCTTCCTCTTCTTTTGTTCCTGCTTCGCCTGAGTCTTTGTCTTCCCCTTTCTCCCTCCTCGCGGCTTTCCCCTGTTCCACAGACAGGGAGATCTGGGCAGGAGAAAGGGAAGTCTTCAGGCTTAGCGCAGTGGTCGGCACCTAGGGTGGAGCTTGCACCAAGGTCCTGGAGCTCCCAGCCGCCTGGAGCCTTGCCCTTGCGTCGACGAGGCGGTTTATTTCGCCCATCAGGCGTATATTCCGCCCCGTCGCGCACAGGGAGCCCCATGGCGGCCAAGGAGTAATCCAGAGCCTTTCTTACCCCCATGAGCTCTGCCCTGTGTACTGGGGGAGGGGGGTGCCTCCTCCGGCAAATTGCCATTATAGGATGGCACCTTCTCCTCCGGAACTGCCCCCTTCCTTTCCTCCTGATAATGAGGATGACTCAATCACTCCTCTTCGTCCTCACCACCGCCCTTTTCCTTCAGACCTTGGCTGGTGTCGGCCGTGGTAACGGTGATGGTCCATTCTTGCCTTCGGAAGAAGATAATTTCCCCAATACTTTCGCGCAGGTCCTCCCCCGAGGTGGCCACGAGACAGGGATACGGGTACGAGGGTGGAACCGGCGGCGGCCCCCTTGGCCGCAAGCTCCTCCTGGAGCTACCAGTTTTCCACCCTCAAATCCCTGAGCTCCTCCCACATTTCCCCCATCTCCCGCTTAACCTCGGGAAGGAGGTCGTTGTGCCCATCCTGGATCGCCACTCTAACGATTAAGGTCGCCAGAGCGGCCTCTGAAGTCGCGACAGCGCGTTTCAGGAGTGATACGAAGGTTCCCTTTAAGGTGTTTGACCTTCGCACCACCAACCGAACCGCGCCAAGTGCGTGTCCCACTTCGGAGGCCATCTCCGCCGACCCCGCCTTTCGGGGAAGGGCCCTGGACGCGGGATCCTTAAGAACCTCCTCAGCAGGGCGAAAGTCCATCACCGTTCGAAAAAGGCCCCCGCTGAGGAGGTTCCCGACCTCCTGCTCTCTTTCGCCTTCCTCTCCTCTCTCTCTCTCTCTCTCTCTATTTCTCTCTCTTCCCTTCCTTTCTCTTATCCCTACCCCTTCGAAGCTTGTGAGTGGCCTGCCCTTGCCTTTCTTGGTTGGCTCGAGCTTGGGTTCCACCACCCTGGGGTTCGAGCTACCACTGCTGACCATTTCCTCCCTGGTCCTCTTCTCAGCGACCCTGGTGGACGTTGTCGTGGTCCTTCTCGCGATAGTCCCAGTGTTGGCGGCACTGATCCTTGTTTTTTGTTAATGCAGGGGAAATCCATCATGGATATCCCCAACCCTTGGGGGGGTCGGGGATTATGCCGGACTCTTACCGACTAAAACCCCTGCGGGATGTCTACCGTTCGGACCGGTGTGGGGGGAGTCAGGGGAACTACCCCCGTATTCCCTCCCCGACACCCCGGCCCCAGGGCTCTTGGCGGCACTGATCCTCTTGCCCAGTTTTACTACCGCCACCCAGGATTTCTGTGGGAGGATAACATTGGAGACCATTACTGGTTTACCGATAGTGGTTCCCTTATTATTTCTTGGCCCCTTGGTAGGCAAAGGGCCTGGCTTCCTATTCCTCAGGCTCCGAGACCGGGTGTTGGGTCCCGATCCCGAGGAAGACGGTCCCTCGTTGGATGGCCGCTCTTTGTAGCCCAAGGGCTCATCACACAGACCCGCGGTAGGAGCGGTTCTTCCGACCCTTTGCCGGGGTTCGTCCCACGATAGGTGACCGTCCTTACCTCCCGGAGGGCTCACCTCACGAGCCCCACGGTTGGGACCGTGCTTCTGGTCTACTTCGATCAGAGAGGACAGTGGTCTGTCCTCAATTGATGGTCATTCCCGCGGCTAGCCCGCGAGAGGTGCATCGCCCTTTCCTCCCCGGGGGTGGGAAGGAGAGCCCCTGCCTTCGGATCCCTCTTCACCACCATTCAAACTAACTGTATGGCTTCAGAAAAATCACTCTGAGGTGGTTGGACCCCGGACCGGTTGCTACTCCGGTCACTACAGGTCCCTGAGCCCGAAAGCTCGTGGTTGGTTTTGTTTCTTATAAATTTGAAATTCTTTTTGGTCCCACAAGTGCAGGAATGGGTCGTCTACCCCGGGCAGAGCCCCCGCATTGTCCGGGGCTAGGCTAGCATGTCCCCATGGTTCGCCAGGTTCGCATGGGTAAGGGTCCACTTGCGACAGGTCACACACCTGCCACTCATCTCCTAGATATGGAACTCCTCACCGTAGAATTACGTGGTCTTTTATAGAAGACCCGTCTCGTGGTCCAGCCGGTTAAGGCAAGACCCCTAGAAACTCGCGAATACTTTCGCGTCGACGAGAAAGGATATAACGGCTAAGCGGGCGCGTAGAACGCGCGGTGGAAGCGCTCGCTCTCTCACATATAAAATCCTAATTAACGGTATCCGTGCCGTGTAATCTGACTCACGCAATTTGAGCAAACGTTTCGAGCCCGTGGGCGATAGCAGCCGACCCCGGGAGCTTGGAGACATGACTTAGGGTTTCGGTTTAGTAGGCTAGGGTACGCCAGGGTTCGCCTGGATTTCAATACCAGGATGCCGAAAAACCCTGGCCTCTGACATCCACCCCCTTCCCCCTTTCCTCCCACCCCGAGACTCACCCTTCCCTGAACCCGAGGTGCTCTTAGCAAGCGATCCTCCCCATCCAACTTTCCCTCCGGTTGGACAGGAGGTACTACCACGATGAATCTACGGATCGCCTGTGCCTCCTCACCACGACAAGGTAGCACCACGTCGAGGAGGTGTTATCTTAGCCTTTTTGCATCGGGCAATACTACAGCCAACTTCATCGTGAAGCTCCACCATTAGGCTCGAAGTGACAGTATATGTTATTCTGTCGAAGCGTAAGCAACATATTTTTTCATAGCGTTAAACATGTCGAATTTTGTTCCAAAAACAGAGTATTTGCAGGGAATTTTACTGCATTACTTTTTTTCAAAAAAAACTGCAGCTGAAGCACATAGAATTCTTGTGAAGACTTACGACGACCATGCTCTGTCGGAAACAACATGCAGAGATTGGTTTAGATTTAAAGATAGAGTTAGCTTGAAAAATAATGATTTTGATGTTGAAGATAAAGAAAGCTCTGGCGCACCGAAAAAGTTTGAAGACGAAGAATTAGAAGCATTACTCAATGAAGGCCCAT